TCCAAAATATAGTGAATGGAGGTTGCACAAATCTGTGGCTAGTCTTGATCACTTTATTCTAGCCTCTTAAAGTAAAGCTCTGAGGGCAAGAGTTTGTTTACAAAAGTGGATTCACAGAGGGCCCGGGAGGGGCCCCAGAAATTCAGCCCTTCTAGCCTACCTTGCCATTCTAGGTCACAGCTGATCATCTCCAGAATTCCATTTTACCCACACAAATCTCCACATCCCTGAATGTCTTCAGAAATGTACTGATCTGCCTTGAACATACTCAAATGATTGCGTTTCCACAGCCATACAGTGTAGAGAAAGATTCCACAGATTCATCACCCTTTGAATGAAGGCCCTCCTCCTTATTGCTATTGTTGGTTGTCCTGTGCTATGAAATCATGTCTCAAATAAAAGCAAAATACCGCAAATTCTGGATATCTAAAATCAAAACAGAAAATGCTGGACAACTATTTCCAAAGAGAAGTCTTTGGAATTGAAACATTCCTCTCTCCACAGATGCTACCAGACATGCTGAATTTCTCCAGTATTTTCTGTTTATATACCCAAGAGTTCATCCTCTGGTTCTAGAGTCACTGGAGAAAACATCCCATATGCACCTTGTCATACCCTGTAAGAATTTTGGAACTTTGAAAAATGAGGGGTGATCTTCCAAAGAAAAAAAACTCTACAAATTACAGATTCAGTTTCCTCAAAGCTTCCCTCATGAGACAATTCCACCATCCCAAGGAGTAGTCTGGTGAACCTCCATTGCAATTTCTCTAAGACAAATACATCCTTCCTTGGATAAGAAGACCAAAACTTACAGTACTTGAGTTGGGGTCTCATTATTGGAGCTGTATAGAGCATCAATGAGTTTATTTCTGTGGTCAAAGTTCTTTGGAATAAATATCAACATACCATTTGCCTTCTACATCCACATGCAAGCTTTTGTGAATAGAGTGGGGCAAGTCCAAAATTAACGGGTACAGGTTTAAGGTGAGAGGGAAAGGATTTAAAAGGGGCCCAAGGGGCAATGCCAGAGGAAGTGGAGAAGTCAGGTGTAATTACAACAACATTTAAATGGCATCTGGAAGGGTAAATGAATAGGAAAGGTTTAGAGGGATATGGGCCAAATGCTGGTAAACAGGACTAGGTCAGATTGGGATGTCTGGTTGGCGCAGATGAGTTGGACCAAAGTGTCCGTTTCCACGCTGTACGACTTTATGACTCATGGACAAGAACACTCAGATCCCTTTGGGCACTTGCATTTCCCAACCTTTCATCATTTTAGAAATGTTCTGCCTTTCTGCTTTATCTATCAAATGGAATAACTTCACCCTTGTTCCAATATGTTCCATCTGTCATGTTCTAGCCCATTTGCTTCAGTTATACAAGTCCTCTTGAAGCCTCCTTGCACCTTCCTCACAACATATGGCTCAGCCAGCTTGGTGTCATCAGCAAACTTGGAAATATTACAATTGGTCCCCACATCAAAATTAAAATTATAAAGATTGTGAACAGTTGTGAACCTATCACTGACTTTTGTGGTATCCCACTAGTGACAACTTGTCAAAAATCAATTTATTCTGACTCTGCTTTCTGTCCATTAATCAATTCTTGGTCCATACTGGTATATTCCTCCCAATCCCAGGCACTCTGATGCTATTTATGGGCTTCCTTTGTGGAACCTTATCAAAAGCCTTCTGAAAATCCAAATACAGCACATCCACTGGTTCTTTATGCTCAGTATAATCCTTAAAAAAAAACTCCAAGTTTGTTAAACATGATTCCCATCATAAGTCCAAGCCGACTCTGCCCAATGTTAACATTTGTTTTCTAAAATATTCAGTTATCACATCCTACATAATGGATTCTAGCATTTTCTTTACTATGGACATTAAGCCAACACATTTCTAGTTCTCCCTTCTTAAACAGCATAGTTACATTTGCTTCCTTCCAGTCAGCACAAGCCTTCACAGAATCAAGAAAATTAAGAGAACCATCACTGTATCCAATATCGCGATTACTACTTTCATCAGTACTATAGGATGAAGCTCACTTGATCTAGGCGACTGGTCAATCCTTAATCCAGCTAATGTTTAAAGTACTACCACATTACTAATACCAATTTCTTTTAGTTCTTTGGTTACACAAGTCCTTTGATCACCTCGTATGGCTGGGATGCTCTCTGTCCTTTCTTCTGAAGACAGATGCAAATTAACTGTTTAATTTGTTTTTGGAGTTCCCTGTTCTCCACTGCAGATTTTCCTGTGCCCACATGCGTCCATGCTAACCTTCTCCCTTTCACATATCAAGAGAAGCCCTGCCTTTAATGCTCTTTGTATTTTGTATTCTTTCCTTACCAGATTCTTGGTCCTCCTTTGCTGGGTCCTAAATCACTCCTATTTCTCAGGCTTACCACTGTTTCTGCCATTCACATAAGCCACTTCCTTTGAGCTAATGCAAGCTTTAACATCTTTATCAAGCATGGTTGACTTACCCTTCCCTTTGGGTGTACTTATAAAAAAACTAATCTGAAGAGTAGAAAAAAAGGCAAACGCAAATTCAGAGCAAGTGAAACATTTGGCCCATCACCTTGTTTCTTCAGCAGCCGTAAATCACGGTGTGCCCCTTCATTATCAATACAAGTGTTTTCAACTCATCAGCTCCAGACAAAAATGGCTCAACTGATATTTAGAAACCAGCACACAATGTTAGCACACAATTGACCAATCGCCATTGCTATTTTAAGACCATGGGACACCAGCAAGAGGTTTCATTCCCTCGCGTGAACTGTACCAACTTGGATCTGAACCTACCTCCCAGACCCCACCTGCAGAGGTTCTCGTTGTTCCTTTGACTTTGGAACTGCAATCTGAAAGGAAAGAAGTTTGGTTTTATTGACATCTTCAGCAGTGGGCCCCTAACTCAGCAATAGACAATACCTCAAACAATACCAAACAGAGGGTCCCTGGCAGAAATGCTGTACCTTTCAGTATGAGTGACTGATCCAGGCCTAACGTTCTCCCCTGGTGATTCCAGCCATGGGGGAAATAGAAAAAAAAACTATGGCAATAAGAATGGAGGACAAAACTGTAATACAGTAATAAATGTCACTGGGCTAGTGATCCTCCAGGGACACAGATTCAAATCCCATCATAATAACCGGTGGAATTCATACTAATTTAATATAAAGCTAGCCCCAGTAATGACAACCAAGATAACCATCACAGATGATCGCAAAAACCCATCTAGTTCAGCAATGTGCCTTTGGGGAAGTAAATCTGCCATCCTTACCTGGTTTGGTCTGTGTGACTCCAGACAATGTGCCTGACTCTTAAACCACTCTCTGAAATATCCTAACAAGTCACTCAGTTCAGTGACAATTAGGAATGGGTGACAAATGCTGACCTTATTAATGATGTCCACGTCATGAAAAAGTCTCAAACCAGCTCTACGCCAGCAGGGACCTGTCATCTGCTGTATGGAAGTTTGTTTTGACAGACAGACCTCATTTTATTAATGGTTCCAATATGACAGTCTGCCTATTTTACCACCTTTTTAATCAGGTTATGGCATTCAGTTTAAATACTGCAGGCAGCAAGCTAATTTTGGTTTAGCCGCCAGCTTCTTCAATTTGGCTGATGGTTCAAATGACATGAATTGCTAAATCATGCACAATAACATGTTCAACTTTAATCTCGCAGTAATGCTATCACAACTGAACATGCAACAGTGCAATTAACTGATCAAAGCAAATGAAAAAACCTTCATACATACATTTTAATTGATGTTAACATGGAGTTATACAGATCAATACTGCAGTGTCTTCTCTCCATCTACCTCACAGAGTTGCAACGCAATACAAGGGCTATTCTATACAGCCTTTATACTGAGACACTGTACACATTCCCATTAGCAGAAAATGCACCTTCAAGGTGCAACATTCGCACAGTTTTAATCTAACATCACATGAGTATGACCGTACCACTGGCAAGCTCTGGGGATCAATAACGAGCCACTTCTCAGTCACTTTCACGAGTTGCTGGGAGCTCAGGGGTTCTCGGATTTTGACAATCACCTCCAGCCGACCTCCTGTCGTCTTCCTGCCATCCAACACCTGGGAGGAGTTGATTAAAAAAAACACTAACGACTTAAGGAACTACATCAATGAAAGCAGCAAACGTATCATATTCTGTGACCCTTAGGTCTGTAAGAAGGGAAACTAAGTAGACAGATTGCGATGGGATGGACAATTGCCAATAACAAAAATACCATGCAGAGAAGGAAAACAACTATCAAAAAGGACTAATGATACAGAAGATTTAAAAAAACATTAATTTCCACTGAAAACTTCTTCACTTGCCAGCCACCATATACTGGAACAGTTTTGAATCCAAGAGTACTAAATGGAAATGACTTTAGTCCAGTGCCAGAAAACAGTGAGGTTTTCTTGCAGTCAAGTTATCAGATCCCATCATTGCCTGATCCTTCTCTACCGACTCATTGCCTCCCCACTAAAAACAACCCAATTAATATTCCTTCCCACCGTCCTGCCTTGATGGCTTTGAAAATCTTTGTTTGAACAGTGAATTCCATTGATCGTGTCCAGGAACTCATGGGAAGAGAAAGCTGGACAGAGGGGAATGAATACAAGAGCCAACCCAGGCTAGCTTGGCCGACAAACAAGGAAAGCTTAGCAGTAGCAGATGGTTGAATTACTACTGCTCTGCCAGTTTGGAATGTTGGTATGTTGTTCAATGCATAGTATTACATTCTAAATCACACATCGCGTGGAAAGCATACAAGGTCTACCTGCAAGTCAATATCCTCTCCAACCCCTGTATGATTGAGACACGACTGAAGCAAACCAAAGACAGTTCTTACGCATTCACTAACTGATAGGAACTGAAGTGGATGATGCAATAAGCATGAAATTTGATCACAGTTGATGTGTACATCTCCAACTATCTGCTACTGATGTATATCCCTCGATTCCCGAGCCTCACAAAAACTCAAACAGTCGCTCATCAGTATAGAATCTGAGTAGTTAGAAGGAATACCTCCACTAATCAGAATATACTTGACAACCAACTAGGGAGGCGATGGGCTAGTGGTATTATCACTGGACTGTTAATCCAGAGACTCAGGTAATGTTCTGGGGGCCCGGGTTCGAATCCGCCACGGCAGATGGTGGTACTTGATTTGAATAAGTATCTGGAATTAAGACCGTGAATCCATTGTTGATTGTTGGAAAAACCCATCTGGTTCACTAATGTCCTTTAGGGAAGGAAACTGCCATCCTTACCTGGTCTGGCCTACATGTGACTCCAGACCCACAGCAATGTCGTTGATTCTGAACTGCCCTCTGGGCAATTAGGGATGGACAATAAATGCTGCCTGGTCAGCGACGCCCTCATCCCACGAATGAGGAAAAATAAACCAATTAATACTCTCCTGTCATGTAGTATAAGTGTTGTTTTCCTTTAACATTGGTATTCTTGTGAATCGTTCTGATGAGTGTAAGATGAAAAGTTTTGACAAAATGTGTCATTTCTCAACAACACTCAAAAAATCTATCAACTACAATGTTTAAAATTTTCAATTAACCTCCCCTACACAAATGCCACCAACTCCTAGCCTTCCAAAATAAGTACATCATGTCTTAAATTTTCCATACTCAAAGGAATTACTTAGTCAGGTCTATTTAATCCATCCTCATAACATTAATAGTCCCAGTATCATCTTGTGGCATCAGTGCTGCAACCTCTGAGATTAAATATATCTTTCCCAGAGTTGTAGTGCTCAAAACTGAACACAGTAATTCAGCCAGGGTCTAACCAGAGTGAAAATTATTTGATGTAGAATCACAAAAGGTTACAATACAGGAGGCGGCAATTAGGCCCATCATTTCTGTGTTGACTCTCCGAAAGCAATTCACTTCTATCCCTTTGTACAGTTCGTTTTTTAATGATATTTGTACTTGAAGTTATTAGCCTCACACCAATCAGCAAACACAGATCTCAGATAAACAAATTGGCCAGCACAGTGCCGGTTGTCAAATCAAGGGGGATGCTGACAGAGCTGGGTGCCATTTCTGTGTGAGGTGAAAGCTGCTGCTACAACAATAAAGTGATTTATCAAGAGGCAGGCAAATTAAGGAGGCCAAGGACGTTACTCAGCCTCAGGCATTGCTTGGAATAGGAAGAGCTATGCTTTTGAATTTGGGGCAGTGGGAGTGAGATGAAGGGAGAGTAATGTCAATTGTTACAACTATGATTTAAAAGGGAGTATTAAGAAATGATGGTCACTGACTGATGAAATTACCAGGATTAGTTCTCTTGCTGAATGTACAAATATCATGTCACATCCATCTTTCCTAAAAAAACTATCTATTTCTTTCTTGGAATTCACTGACTAGTGTTTTCATAGCCAGAGGATAAGGAATCCTAAGCAATCCTAAAATTCTGTCAAATGATTGAGTGGGGTTTTACTGGATCTTAAAACTTTTTAAAGAGAAAGTCCACCCACCCCCAAAGCTCCAGTTTCCATATCTGCAGGTATCTAACTGGTAATTGGGAATGAACCGGAGCATCTTGGTATGTTGTCAGTACAGCTTCTTCACAATGTTTTGAAACCTCACCTCCAGGATTTCTCGAATCTCACACTGTGACTCCAATTTTTCCAGTTTAAGCTGAGCTGTTCCCACAACTTTGTCATTCTTGAAAATACCTCTATTAAAAGAAGAAAGGAATTTTATTTTCCCAATGCTACAAGCTGAGTATTAAATCATGTGGAAACAGAAAAGGATTGCTAAAATTAGAAAATTTGGATTTAAGACAATTTAAAACTATTGCTTAATGGCAAGAGATTAGGAATTGCCAAAACACAAAGAAATCTGAGTAGGGTTAAGAACACATCACTAAACTGCAGTGAACTGATACAAAAAGTAATCAAAACAATGTTATGCGATTTTGACCTCTTGAGGGGTCTGGGTACATAAAAATGAATGGATATTGCACCTCATTTGTACAGACTTAATTGGGACCTCATTCAGACAACAGCATTTAGTTCAGGAAACTAATTTTAGGAATCAGAGTCATAGAGTTATACAGCACGTCAACAGGCCCTTCTGGCTGACTTGTTCACACCGACCAGACATCCCAATCTGACCTAGTCCCATTTGCCAGCATTAGTCCGTATCCCTCTAAACATTACCATGTTCTGAAAGAGTATTTGGATTTGTATCAGCCATCAGTTAAAGCTACTTAAGAGAATCTCTTGACAAAAGTAGAACATTAAACAAAAACAAACTCATACCCTTTATGGAGTATTTCAAACTTAATTCCTTTGGTCTGTACCACTCGTTTGAATGCGCGATGTCCTCGGTTGATGTTCAGCTTAAAGTGCTCTTTAAATTCTAGCAGACAATTAAAAGTGACTATTACAGTAGAATCCACTTAATGAATAGCATTTAAGATCGAAACACTCACTCAGCGAAGCAGACTTCCATGTTAAATGTTTGGCTGCAGGGGCATTTCACTGTGTTAGAAAAAGAGTTCAGGAATTGCCCATTTCACAGAGAAATGGAAAATCTTCAGCCCTTTGTTCATCACACCCTGTGATTGCCATCCTTTGTTTTACTTCTGCTGCCACTCAGTTCAAGTGGGTGCCCCAAGCTGTCACTCTGACTTACGCCCTGCTCTTTCCCGACTCCACTCCCAGTCACTAAATTCAACTGTTAGCCTAGCATTCTCCTCTAGCTGGGGTAACTGAAATTTTCCTCCAGCACACATGCCAACAATCCAAGAGAACAGAAACCATTTCTGTTCATGTCCTCTGGGTGTTTCAGAGCACATAATGAACCACTTCATGAAAATGTAGTCTACTACATTGTAGAAAAGGGGGCAGCCAATCTCAAACCGCAGTGTGATAATGACCAGGTCATCTGTGATCGAGAAACATGGGGAAGAACCTATTTGAACTATGTCACGAGTTCTTTCGCATCACCTGAAAAGGCACATGGGGCCTAGTTTTCCTTCTCATTCAAAGTGCTTCCCTAAATGCTGCACTGGAGTATCAGGCTGGATTAGGTGCTCAAGTCTCTATAGTGGGGTGTGAACACAAAGTTCTTGCCCAGAGGTGAGATGGTTACCGACTGAGACAATACTCAGTCCATTCTGACTAATCAAATCAGGCACAGAAATAGATCCATGTGGCCCCTCTACCCTGTTGATCATCTAATTAAGATCAATACCTCAACTCCACATTCTCACTTATCCCTGATAAACACATTTTCGACTAACAAGGCAGTCAAACGTACTTCTGCCTTAAAATGTTCAGTGACACCGCCTCCATCATTCACTGGGGAAAGAGTTCCAAAACCCATAAGCACTGAGAAAAAAAAAGTTCCTTATCTTCTCCTTAAACGGGAGACCTCTTAGTTTTTAAAAAGGTGCCCTCTCCCATTTCTAGCTTCTCCACAAAAGCTTTCAGCATCTACCCTGTCAAGTCCCCTCAGGACCTCGTATATTTTGATAAGATCACCTCCCATTCCTCTAACTTGCAACATAGGCAAGACCAACTATCTAACCGCCTCATTAGATAACACAACACCATCCCAGGCATCAGTCATATGAACCTTCTCAGAGAAACTTTTCGTGCATTTATATCACCTCTTAAATGGGAGACCAAATTACATACACAGTAAAGTGACCATGCAGCCACCATTAACTTATGGGTTTATGCTAGATTTGAAAACTCAAATTATAGCTTTCCAGCTACCTACCTGGACAATTCGTGTTTTTAATCACATTGGTTTTATCTTTCTGTGCCTCTTCCTGTTGAGTAAAATAGAATGTGAATTGTAACTTGCAGCATTAGACAGAGTTAGAGAGAGTAAAGGCATAAACTAGTCACTCATGATTTGACAAGGACTATTGGGTTTTTATAGAACTAGAATTGTTAAAAAAAATCAACAAAAAAGGCCAAAAGTTGCCTAATTAGGGTTAAATTTCAGACAGTTACAACTTGCATTTATAAAGTATCTTTAACCTAGTAAAAATATTGCAAGACACTTATAGAAGCATAAATCAGATAAAAATTTGTTACTCAGCCAAATAAGGAAACATCAGGCCAGGTGACCAAGAGATTGGTCAAAGGAGGTTTTAAGAATAACTGAAAATGGATTATAGAGGTTATGAGAGAAAATTCCACTCCTAAGTCCTGGGCAACCATGTCTTCAGAGATGGTAAGAACTGCCGATGCTGGAGTCAGAGATAACACCGTGTGGAGCTGGAGGAACACAGCAGGCCAGGCAGCATCAGAGGAGCAGGAAAGTTGACATTTCAGATCGGGACACTTCTTCAGGAAGGGGGGTCCCGACCCAAAACGTCAACTTCCCTGCTCCTTTGATGTTACCTGGCCTGCTGTGTTCCTCCAGCTCCACATTGTGTTAATCATGTCTTCAGTTGCCTACGATGGAGTGAAAATGTTGGGTACATTCAAGAAGCTCAAATTGCAGGAATACAGAGATTGCAGAGATTGGTAGTGTTGCAGAAAGCTGCAGGGATAAGGGGCAGAGAGGCCTTGTAAAGGTTCAAAGAGAAGGATGAGAATTTTTAAACTGAGGCTTTTCCATACAGTAAATCTATGTAGATCAGTGAGTACAGGAGTCTGTGCCACTTCTATCTTTCAACATGCTCTCCATTAATCCCACTGACGTTTCCTACTGCGGTTTGCCAATATTCACTATTCTTTTCTCTCCCTAATGTAAAACTCCCTATCATGATCAGTGAGAAGCAAATGGCCCATGATTCCGAACAGGTTGCATTGCTGTGCCAAGCCACAAACCATGTAGTTATAGGGAGAGGCTGAATAGGCTGGGGCTACTTTCCCCAGAGCATCGGAGGCTGAGGGGTGACCTTACAGGTTTATAAAATCATAAGGGTCATGAATAGGGTGAATAGCCAAGGTCTTTTTGCCAGGACAGGGGAGTTCAAAACTAGACAGCATAGGTTTAAAGTGAGACGGGAAAGATTTAAAAGGGACCTAATGGGCAAATTTTTCACACAGAGGGTGATGCGCGTATGGAATGAGCTGACAGAGGTTGTGGAGGCGGCTGTTACAATTACAACATTTAAAAGGCATCTGGATGGGTATAGGAAAAGGAAGGATTTAGAGGGATATGGGCCAAATGCTGGCAAAAGGGACTAGATTAATTTAGGATATCTGGTTGGCATGGATGAGTTGGATCTAAGGGTCTATTTCCATGCTGTAGACCTCTGTGACTACATCAGAGAAATAAAAGCTCTGGAACACTTCATATAGTGGTTTTCACAATATTTTTGAAACTAAATAACATGTCTCTTACTAACTTACTTTTCTAGGGACTAAAAAAAAGTGAGAAACTTCCTTTTCACTAAAATAATGCAGTCTTCTAAAGCAAAACTACCTTGTCACTAGGTGCAGATTTATCTACAGTGCTACACCTGCCCCCATACCTCCTCCCTCACCCCCATCCCAGGCCCCAAGAAGACTTTCCACATCAAGCAGATGTTCACCTGCACATCTGCCAATGTGGTATACTGCATCCGCTGTACCCGGTGTGGCTTCCTCTACATCGGGGAAACCAAGCGGAGGCTCGGGGACCGCTTTGCAGAACACCTACGCTCGGTTCGCAATAAACAACTGCACCTCCCAGTCGCGAACCATTTCAACTCCCCCTCCCATTCCTCAGACGACATGTCCATCCTGGGCCTCCTGCAGTGCCACAACGATGCCACCCGAAGGTTGCAGGAACAGCAACTCATATTCCGCTTGGGAACCCTGCAGCCCAATGGTATCAATGTGGATTTCACAAGTTTCAAAATCTCCCCTCCCCC